GTAATTACTCGCTTTATTTAAATTTAGTAGTTCTAATTTGATTTTTTAATTTTTAAATATGAATTTTAAATATAAATTTAATCACTTATATAAACTACAATTGAATTTTTTTTATTTAATTTTTATTGAATATTTTTATTTGATAAAAAAAATTCATTTTCTAAAAAAAATTCATTTTCATTTATATAATATGATAAATTTTCATATAAAATTTGAATTTCAAGAATTAAAAATGCACACAAAAACAATTAAATTTGAACGGAAAAAGTATTAAATATATGGATGTCTCATGTCTATAAGCCTTTTTCTTTTTCTTTTTCTTTCCTTTTTTTTGAAAGAATTTTCTCAACGGATTAAAAAATTTGATGGCCTTAATTTAGTCATATTGCAGCATAGACATTCCACTTTTACATGTGATCAAGTACGATCTAGTCATACCCTGCCCAACCATTGGATAACAATGCAATCTTTATGACTCCATCGATTACCTGACCTTGCATTGCATGTTCTTAATGGATAGTCTGGTTGTAATTACAAACCATTGAGAAGTAGGAGTTGCTTTTTGCTGCCCTTTTCTTCCTTTTGACAAATGACAAAGTAGCTAGCTAGTAAAATTGGACATGGTTGCATTCATACGAACTTTTTTTTAAGTTCACACACACATACATATATATACAGTAAATTGATTTAATTGGGCTGATTTTATAAGTTTATAATTGGTTAAAATGGTAAGAAATATTAGTATATTAACTGATTTCAAACTGTTAAGTAATAAATATAATTTGTTTTATAAATTATCAGTTAACAACTATAATTATTAACTATTTATGACAATCAAACCAAAACGTATTTACAATTTTTGGGTGGCTTAACAAATGCTAGTGTAGTCATAACCATGCTCCGTAAAGTTCACCCATTTTTTTTCTCCTAGAGGGAGAATTCATTTGAATACAAATCTTATACTATATTTATACAAAATTTCAATCATTCATTTTTTTACTTTCAATGGTTGAGATATATATATAAATTTCAATCATTCATTTTTTTACTTTCAATGGTTGAGATATATATATATACATGAGTAAAGATCCACTTATACACAAATCTTATACACTAAACTTATACAAAATCTTAATCATGCATTTATTTACTTTCAATGGTTGAGTGATGAATAGTTGAGATTTATTATGACTTTTTAAATAAAAAAATTATTTTTAATAAATGTGAATAAATTTTAACAATTAAAAGTAAAAAGATAAATAATTAAAATTTTATGTAAATACAATAAATAACATTTATGTGTAAATATATAGAGAGAGAGAATAAGGGTCAACTTAATTATGCATATAAGTTCACTTAACTTATTATATGTGACTAATTAGCTTTATCTTTTCATTACATGTAGGTCCATTTTAATTTAAAGTGTACTTAATTTGACATGAGAGAAAGGAAAATTATCATAACCAATCAAATTATTTTGTTGATATAATGACTTAATTTAACTAGTCAAAATGAAGTCCCTTCCCCTACCCTCCCCTCTCCCCCCAGGCTCGCCTCTCCTTCATCCTCCTTAAATCAAAGGGGTTTTTAATTTTTCAAAATTTAAATTTAAAATTATAAGAAAAAAAAGGAAGAAGAGATATTTTTTTATTTCAAATTTATTCTAAATTAATTATCATTTCTTTATTTAAAAAATTTTTTTTTTCTATTTTAACTCCATCATTATATATTAATTTTTGAAAATAAAAGAGGACTATTTCCTCTTGTATGAGTTATAATCAAATGTATTAAAAAATTATATATTAATTTTAATTAATTATCTGATTACAATAAATTTTTTTGTCTTTTTTTTTAAAGTATAATATAGGTAAATATAAGTATTTTTTTTAATTTTTAATTTAAAAAATTAAAAAATTATTATTATTCTAAAATATCAGGAGAAATGTTTTTGTCAGTGAAGCAGCGTAGATGAAGGTAGGTCCACATGGTCAAGTGTTTTCCACGGCAGCACGTACACGTTGACGTGGACAGCCATTAGCATCAGCATCTCTTTTGCCGTCCAAAAGGCAAGGTCCGTTTCCAACTTTTTCCGCTTTATTTGTTCGGGCCCCAGGCCCCATCAAACCAATTATTCGTGTATTAGCTCTAAGGCCTAAGCCCAGTTTTTAATTCTGCTTGGACCCTGAAATAGTAAGAATCCACGTTAAAAATAAAATAACCCTCAACTTCCGTTACCGTCTTGCGGAAAAGATGGATTCGATGCAGAAGCAGGAAGGTTAATTTCCATTTAACTTGAAAATATAAAAGATAATTAATTTAAGAAAAAAGTATAAAAATTTATTTTAATAATTACTAAAAAAAGAGATAAATATTCTCTTTTCATCCTTTAATATATTTTTGTCCCACGATATTGGGATATTTTTATTTATTAATGATTATAAAAAATACACTTGGCATATGACAAACTAAGAAACTACAAACTTATATAAGAATTGGAACTAAAAATTGCTTTATGAAAGATCCTTACAATGTGAACAAGATTTATATTTCATGGCACATTCATATAACCTTTTGTGAATGGAAAATTGAAAATATATTTTTGGCAAAACACTATGTTAAGCCCTCAAAGTTACCTCAAATTTTTTATTAAGCTTTTAAACTTTTATTGACATAAATAAACCTTTAAATTTGACAATCTGAACAAATTTACCATTTTCTTTAAAATAAACTTAACACCTTTTGTATCTCATTTACAAAGATAAGGTATTAATATGTTATTACTTACATGGTAAGTATTAATCTTGTCTATACAAATAAGACACAAATAAATATTAAATTTGCTATAAAAAAAAAAAAAGATAAACTTACCCAAATTACCAAATTCAATGACTTATTTATTTCAATAAAAATATAGGGGCTTAATTGAGAATTTGAAATAAGTTTGGGGACTTAACAATAGCGTTTTGCCTATATTTTTTAATCTCAACAAAGATTGTCAAGAATCTAATTCCGTGGAGAGAAAGTTGTAGAGGGTTAGCTAAAATGCAAATAAAAAGGCAACATCACTTACTGAGACATTAATATAAGCGATTCTTGGCCCTTTTTTCTTCAAACAGGTTTGTTGGATGTATAAGTTGAAGTTGAAATATATATGCTGACAAAATTCATTATAGATGCCACTCCTCTTCTAAGAAGCAATACCTTTTTGGATCATGATTTATGAACACCCTTTACTTTTCACTTTTATTTATAATTTATACATGTTATTAAATAAATAAATGAATTAAATATTACATAATTTTTATAAGGTGAAAAAAAAATCAATTATTAATTAATATGTAAAGTTGTAAATTTAAAAATTGTCCATATTATTTTCCTATTTTTTCTTAAAAAATAAAAAGTAAATAGAATACTAAAATTAGGTCAGTATAAAACAAAATAAGGTACTGATGGGGTTGCTTCATTTTGAAGAATTATAGTAATCAATATGATGATTTCTGTACTCACACTTTAGTGTGGTTAGAGCTACTCCTTTCGCAACTTGAAACGTGATATCATCATCAGTTGATATGAAAACTAGATAGATTTCAGCTGCCGTTCGTTGGTTTTTTTATGTTCATATTGTGAGGAACTTACCCTACTTAATTAGAGCCCACCACGAGGCTTGATAAAAGGCTAGAGATAAAAAGGTAAAGGAGGGGAAAAAAGGTGATTTTAGCATTGCAAACCCACAGAATTTTGAGCAACTGTCTCTATGGTGAGATCATCCGATCAACCAAAGGCAAAAGTACTGTAACGCTAGTGATCTCAATAAAAAAGAAAAACACTAATTGATTCTTAATTTGAATTATTTAAGTTATTATTGATATCAGGATTTGAATTGCACTATTAAATAGTTATATATTGTGGTTCATAAATTTCAAAGCATTAATAAGTAATTTTAAAAATTACATGTATTTAAGTGGATTAGAAATTTGAAGCCAAAATTTTGCAAAACTCTTATTTTAGAAAAGAGGGTCCATTGCTTGCTTGGAACTTTGACTAGTGTAGTGAATTGCTTGACTTCCCCCTTTGTTATTGCCCGAGTGGTAATAGATTCTATATTCCAAGTCCCACCTTCCTCACCCATTATATAGACGGCTGCAGCCAATCTGACACAAAATTTTCTTTTATCTCCATTTCCACTTCTGATTCTATTCTATCTTCCTCGCCACTTGGAATCAACAGCCAATGCAGCATCTTCCTTTGTAAGAAAAAGATTCAATTACAATTTTCAAAACCCATCAAGCATTTTCTCCCAATGGATTCCATCTCCTCATCAGGCACTTCTTCTTGCTGTTACATCAGCCTCATTTTTTTCATCATCTTCAAAGGTATGAATTCTTGTTGTATTGTCTATAATACAATTAACGTAACTTGGTAGCAAATTTTGCGTATTGATGAAATGGTTGCATCCTGCCAGGCGCAGCAGGGGTAACATTTACAGTAATTAACAAATGCGACCACACAGTATGGCCGGGGACTCTCGGCAATAGCCAGTTGGATAGTACCGGGTTTGAACTTCCACCAGGCGGCTCCAGATCCTTTCAAGCCCCTCCCAACTGGTCGGGAAGATTCTGGGGCAGAACTGGCTGCACATCTGACCCCACCACCGGACAGCTCACTTGTCTCACCGGTGACTGCAGATCCAACCAACTCGAGTGCAATGGCAACCCTGCAAACCCGCCCACCACCCTAGCGGAATTCACCATCGGGTCGGGCACCACCCAGGACTTCTACGACGTTAGTTTAGTCGATGGGTACAACCTGCCCATGATCATCGAGCCAAGTGGCGGGTCGGGACCATGCCTGTTGACAGGTTGCGCGACAGACTTGAACCGGAAGTGCCCGGACGAATTAAGGGTCGGGTCCCGCGACGCCTGTAAGAGTGCATGTAACGCTTTCGGGAACCCAGAGTACTGCTGCAGCGGCGCGTATGCCTCACCCGCCACCTGTAAACCTTCGAGATACTCTGAAATTTTTAAATCAGCTTGTCCCAAATCCTATAGCTACGCCTTCGACGACCCCACCAGCACATTTACATGTACCGGCGCCGATTACATGATTACATTCTGCCCTTCATCCACAAGGTAAGCATAATATTATCATAAATTTCACATTACATTCTTTAGAATTTATTAAATATTCAAAATTTTGAGATTCTTAGCTGAATCTAAAAAGATTTTGGATGTTTATCTGTTCTACTTTTATAAAAACTTTTCCCCCCCACAAATCTGCTTTTGTGTGCCACAAGCTTATATGACATTCATTTTATTTTTATACAGTCTAAAGTCTGCAAGCAGTACCTCACCGGATACAACAACCACTGGGGGATCGGAGACGGATTCAGGGGGATTCGCTTCATGGTTACCGGATTTCCTCACCGGAGAGTCGTCCAAGACCCTTTCCGGTTGTGTTTTTTATACCACATTGTTAACTACTTTGATTTCCCATATCCTTCTAACAGTATTTTATTCATAATCTCAAATTTTTGCTGAAATGGTAATTCGGGTCGGGTCCTGTCTTATGAGGAGAGCTTTTAAGGTCCAGATTGTAAAGCCCAATTTTCCAGGGAAATTGTATAGATTAGATTCTTTGGAATCATAACAAAATTTTTAATTATTTTTTTATTCTTTAAAATTAATTAAGCTCGGGGAAGAGTTGTAATCTAAAAGCAACATATTAGGAAAAGAAGAGCTTTTTTGACTAATTTAGTGGATTATTGAGATGGGATTTTGAAGAAAGTGTTGCTTTTTTGTGAATCCGAGCAACCGGTTGGTGCTTGGCTTGGTGGGTACCCCTGTCAAAAATAAAAGGGGAGATATCACCAACTTTGCTGGAATTGCAAGCTTGGTAGTTTAGTGATTGGGATTTTGGCCTTAACGAGTAGTGCTATTATGTTGTTGTCCAAGACAAAATGCCATTCACATGTCATTTCTTTTGAGTAAATATCTTATTACTATTATTATTATTATTTATTTATTTTTGGGCAAAAGGAGGATCTTATTTTGGATTAGATTATTCACATTTCAATTCTTTGAGCCCCATTAGTTCGTGAAAGTAACAACGTGATAGAAAGAAAAGTTTATTTCCAAGACCGTTAATTTGTTAGTTGAGTTAGTAAAATCTTTTGTCGTTATAGGAACACTTGGAATCAAATCCCATTTTCTCTTAGAAGACAAGTAGCTGAGTGTTTGTACAGTTCCGAGATCTAATACTCTATACTCCTTCAATTGCTTCAACACCTGAAATTTTCGAGGATGTTTCCTTGAGAAAAACATTCCAACGGTTAAGTTAGCAATATTCAATATTCTAGAGAGAGATACTCTCAAAGAGTAATTGTAGAGAGAGAAGTGTAGTAGAGTTAATACCTTACATGGAAGTAGTTGGGGGTATTTATAACCCTCTATACTGACATGAGTCTACACGTGTGTGCATCCCATTAGCCCACGTGTCATTGCCCATATGAGTATATCTCCCCAATTAGAGTTTTGTGGATATGCGACTGAGCATGATGGACACGATCTAGATTGAATGTTGGGTCTAATTCCAACACTGAGTACCAAGAAAACCTTACTTGAGGACTCACAAATTTTAAAATATGATGAATTTAATTTAATACATGTAAATTGAATTAGTATAATTATTATAAATTTTATTAAAAAAATGAATAACTTAAGTTTTAACTTTTTTTTAATAACTGGGAGTTGCGATAAGAAGAGGATGATTCTCAAAAATATTTGGCTCTTGCTTTAGCATGAAAAGCCACCGTTAAGATTCTCTTCAAGTGGGTTGTGAGCGGTGAGAGTTGGCAAACTTGCAAAATGGACCACTCTTGAATTGGCCTAATATTTCGAAGGAACAAAGTGACTCTTCCTCTAGGCTTTCTTCTTCTTCTTCTTCTTTTTTCTTCTTTTTATAGAATGTGCATTTTGCATGGTGAAAAAGGACTCAAGTTGTCCCAATTTTAAGGCAAGGTAGGGAGAATTTGACCCTTAAATCACGGTACAAATAAAAAGGGCGCAAAATGAAAACCAAAGATTTTGTTACTCGCACATCAAGCAAAGTGAAAAATAGAAGGATAAAAAATTTAACTTTTTATATTCCTCATGATTGCTGCGAAGAAAGGAAGGGAAAATGGAGAAAAGCGGAATCGGGCACTTGATTACAAAGAAAGTTTAAAGCAATGGCAAAACAAAGACATTCATCAACAAACAATGATCCACCCGAGTGCCTAATCTGTTGAGAATCAAATCAATTACTTTAGGCACTCTTTGTGAAGTGGGTCTTCCTTTTATTCTGTGAGCAGCTCCCATTAAAAGTAAAAAAACTAGTCAGTATCATGTGTCCTTTAATAACCCGAGTGCCTATTCTGTCATAAATATCGTATTACAATTCACTTTCCTCATACTTTAATTATTAATAACGAAGTGAGTCTTTAATATTAGAATACTCGTTCCCCCATGGATATAATTTTTCTGTAAAATATAAGAAGTACCAATTAAGCTTTCAGCTCAACTGAACTCACAACAGTATCATGAGTATGAGAACTAGGAATCTTAATTGCCCAAAAAAAAAAAAAAAAAAGAGGGCCCTTTATTCGACCACAGTTTCAGCCTTTGAGGAAACAAGCCCACTCGAGAGCCGAGAACAAGTGGATCATTCATTTAAAACATTTGGGCCACAATTAATTAGATGCTAAGGACAAATCTTGAACACTATGGTTACATCAGCTCTACGATCTAAACATTTTGTTTAACACTTTAAACAAAGTTTCCAAAAAGAAGAGGAAAAAAAGGGGTAGAAATGCAAGATGCGGATTTCCGGGCTCTCATCTAGAGACTGGAATGCATTACATGAAAAAAAATGTATTCGCAGAGATATCAGAGTTGCCTATGCTTCAGAAGATCTATAACTCGTCCTTAACAGCAGAAGGCTCTGTATCTGCATCATCCTCTGCGGATTCGGATTCAACCTTGGGAGCACCAGCATCTTCCTTTGTCTCGGTCTCAGCCTCAGCTTCTTCTACTTCCCCTTCCTCCTCAACTGCTGCATCGGGATTGACATTGAGGCTGGATTTGACTGAGCTGTAGATGCGGTTGGCAAAGTCCTTGGGATCATTCATCATGAAGCCACTCTCCATGAGTGCAGTTTGGTAAATAAGATGAGCTGTTTGCTTCAGACTCTCGTCCTGAAAGACACAACAATCAAAATGTTAGTAAGAGACGAAATGTAAATGATAAATCTAATAAAATAGTCCGTCTAGTGCCCAACCAACCTAGTATCATATTCAGAAGATAGGAAAGCAACCTTCTCCTGGCAGTCTATAACCCATTACATTGAAACTTAACTTTTCATGTTTGTTAGTCAGATTATATGAAAAATACTTCATGATACACACCTCAGGGTCGTTGGCAACTCTCTCCCGGAGCTCCTTGACAATTGGATGTCTTGGGTTGATTTCAAGCACCCTCTTACCACGCATGTATCCTTGCTTGCTTGAATCAGATAGGGTTTGAGATTGCATGATCCTCTCCATATTGGCACTCCATCCAAACTTAGAAGTAACAACCACACAAGGTGTGTTGTCCAAACGGTTGCTTATCTTCACATCATCAACATTCTCACTGGCAAGTGCACCCTTCCACCACTTCGTGAGTTCCTTGAATGTCTCCTTGAGTTCTTTAGTCTTTGAATCTTTCTCCAATTTCAAACCCTCCTTGGAGACATTCTGGAACTTTTTATCTTCATAATCCATCAGGTATTGCATCAGATATTCGTCTACTGGGTCCATGAAGAAAATAACCTGGAAATATCACGATCCAGACAACCATAAATAAACCAGAGGACTAAAACAAAGTGAGAAAGAAGAATGATAATTTTGAAAGATATTGTTTAATATGATATAATGCTTAGTTTCTGCGCCACCTCGTAATTTTTCTTCTTGAGCCTTTCCAGGAATGGAGACTTCTCCAATTGTTCCTTGTTGGTTCCAGTAATGTAGAAGATATCTTTTTGTCCGGGTTTCATTCTTGAGATATACTGATCAAGTGAAGTCAATTTGCCATCAGACTTGGTGCTGTAACAGAATCAACATACCACGAGTCATCAGTAGTGAAACAAGGAAGTACATCCAAAGAAAGAGGTTTCCTCAAACAAAGAATACGACAATACCTCTCAAATCTGAGTAGTTTTGCCAAGCGATTTCTGTTAGTTGCATCCTCAACAATACCAAGTTTAATAGATTTGCCAAACTCATTCCAGAATTTTGCATATTGGCCGTTCTTCTCATCATCGTCACTGGATTTATCAACTTCTGCACCCCAAATCAGGATTCAATACCAATTATTAGCAAACAAACCATTTGAAGATCCCTTTTTTTTTTTTTTGGTTAGAAGCCATTGAAGTTTTAAACTTAAGAAAAGGCATACAACTGATACAAGGAACTTTTGACAAGAAAACAGAGTGAACAGCTATGACAAACCTTCTTTCTCTTTGCCAGTGGACTCATCAGGATCCTCCTCAGCAATTTTACGGATCATATCAAGGGCCTTTCGGATGAGCTTCTTCTTGATTGTTTTCAGACTGCCATGTTGTTGAAGCATCTCTCGAGATACATTCAGTGGTAGAGTGTCCGAATCAACAAGGCCCTGCTCAACATGTCAATAATTTCAGAATCTATAAAATGTATCAAATACCTCATTAAAGCTGATTTTATTACAAGAAGCTCATGCATCTTAAATTGGTAAAATTACCTTCAAGAAGCTAAGATATTTTGGCAAGAGCTCATCAAATTCATCAGATATGAAAACTTTTCTAACATACAACTTCAAGTTGGCTTTCTTGGTGTTATAGTAACTCTCATAAAGATCCTGTGGAGCCTTGGGAGGCACAAATAAAATAGCCTTGAACTCAACATCACCTTCAGCAGTGAAGTGACTCCATGCCATAGGCTTCTCATCACCAAAGTCCTGTTAGAACAACAAATGCATGATGATGATGAAAGAAATACACACATAAGCACAAAAACTTTAGAAATGAGAAACTTCTTCATACTATAATACATGGCAAATTACCTTTGCCAAAGAGTGATAAAATTTTGTGTATTCTTCATCTGTCACATCCTTTGGACTGCGCAACCATATGGCCTTAACATCATTCAGAAGCTCCCATTCATATGTTGTTTCCTTCACCTTCTTTGTTTTTGGTTTCTTCTCAGTCTCTTCATCTTCACTTTTCTCGGAATCTTCTTCTCCTTCATCAGAAGAGGTGCTTTCAGCTGCTTGTGGCAGTGGACCATATAACAGGACAAAATTGTTAGTGCATATAATGGACAACGGTATCATCAATTAAGTGTATAGAAAAACATTAGAATGGGCTTGATTTTAAGCATGCATACATGTATCCTCCTCATCAGTTGTCTCATCTTCATCTGCAGGAGCTTCAACATCAACCTCTTTGCTTTCCCAGAGATAGATAGGGAAGTTAATGAACTCAGAATACTTCTTCACCAACTCCTGCAAACAAGAATGGCATTGCATATTACATAATTATAATTAAAAGATCGTTAAAAGAGTAAACTAGGAAGCAAAACAACATCCATTTATATTGACAAATTTTAAGATGAGAATCCGACCCCTATTAGTGGTGTGAAAAGTACATGTTAAATAAAATCAGACCAAATTTTATTGATTTTTCAATATTTGAAAATCCAAGCAATAAACGCATAGCCAAATGTAAAACAGATAGTAGAGCAATGTAGATAAAATTACTATCAAAAAGTAGCCACTCATGATGTTGCCACCTACACAAATTGCAAGATGCAAACTATGACAATTAACATCTCCACTTACAATGGAGTCAATACGTACAGATATCCCAGCACCAGCATTAAACATGACAAAAACTACCAGCACGTACTTAAAATACAATAATGAAGAACTAAGTAGAGAAATGCAACTATACCCATCCACAGTATACAGAACACTAACCTTCAATTTGCTCTCCTCCAAGTACTCTCCAGCTTCATCTCTCAGATGCAACCTAATCTCAGTTCCACGACCCAGTGGTTCATTCCATGTATCCTCAGAAATTGCAAATGCCCCATCAGCCTTTGATTCCCATACGTACCTAAAAGTTAAATAAATTTTTTAAATCATCAATAAACAAACAATTTAATTTCCAAAACAAATAAAATTATGTGAGAATACCCACTGTTTGTCATCATTATGTTTGCTAATAACTTCAACATAGTCTGCTACAAGATATACAGAATAGAAACCAACACCGAACTGCCCAATGAGGTTCAGGTCTCCACTACTTTGCATTTTCTCCACAAATGCTACATGAAAATCAAATAATTGTATTTAAGTTGAGAGTTGCTCAAATCTATTCAAATTAAAGAACTCATAACTATATAAGACATTTTGGCACTCAGCATATTTACCCGAAGTTCCAGATTTTGCTATAGTTCCCAAGTTCTTTATCAAATCTTCTTTTGTCATTCCAATACCTCTGTCTCGAATTGAAAGAATTTTCTTCTCTTTATGCAACTTAATCTGCATATAATAGTATTTAAACTTCAGCATACATAGCCATAGATGCACCAAAACTAGCAAACTACAGATGTTTCAAATCACCAAAATAGATCCTAATGGCGCCAATATCCTTCTTCCGTAACTCAGAAGGATTAATGGCACAAATTCCCTGCATGATGCTGTTGTGATGCGGCCTACATGCTAAGCAATAGAAAATTCTACATAAAACACAAACCTGGATCTCAAGCTTAGCATCGTCACCTTCACCCAAAACTTCTTTGTCTGTAAGGGAAAGGAACCTAATCTTGTCCAACGCCTGAAAGTAAAACACTACTGAATCAATATAAAGAACCAGAACAAACATGAATAAAAGAAAATTCAAAAAGAAAAACTCAGAACTTACATCAGAAGCATTAGAGATCAGCTCCCTGAGGAAAATATCCTTGTTACTGTACAGAGAGTTGATAATAATATCCATGAGCCGAGAAACCTCAGCCTGGAACTCAAACTTCTCCGCATTACTGCGGAGCGATCTCTTCGAAATCGACTCTGATTCCCTGAATCAAAATCAACACCTACTGGTGTCAGAACAAACACAAATTACAAGCATAAAAGTAAAGTATTGCTGAGCAGAAACCTACGCACCTTTTAACGACATCGGAATCAGTCTGCAAACCATTCGGCACCGCACCGATCTTATCCTCCACCTTCGGAGGGTCTACAGCTCCTTCCTCTGCATTTGCTTGTAACTTCCTTCCTGAAAAACGCCACCAGATCCAGATTCAGGTGACGGAGCTAATAGAAACTACAAAAATAGAAATGAAAACCGGCGGTTTAGCAGTACCTTGATCCGGGATGAGACACAGGAGGCACAGGAGAATCAAAGCGGAAGGGATCGCCCACTTCCTCATTGCTTCTAGTAGCTTCGCTCGGTATCAGTGGAGTGATTGTAGTTATTGCGATAAATGATTTGTAATCCATTCTCGCGACTTTTATATAACGGTGGTTTAAGGGAAGACTCTATAGATCTCCGTGACTAATGGGAAATGAACTGTCTGGATTGCTTTGATTGGTTATCACTGCCAACGTGGAAGATCGGACGGCTGTTGGTTCTTTTGGTCATACGTGGCGGTATTTTATTGGTTTTAGAGCGTTGGCTTGACGTGCATAAGCGGGGAGTTTTGTGGCCGGTCCACGAGACGACTTGAAACCCAGAGTTTACTTACCAATGACCAATCCGATGATCCAACTGCTACGTGGATTTTACACGTGGCGAAATTTTATTGGCTTTTAGTCTATGGAGATAAAAACTCAACCGGATGAATCAGCTAGGTACGCTTACAAATAAACAGAGTTACACGATTTTAAGTTGGGCTTTGTTTGGATTTCTCGATTGCTTTAATTTTTTTAAAAAAATTTTATTTTAAAAATATAAAAAAATTAATTATAGTAAATATTAAATATATTTTATGTATTTTTATAATATTAAAATTTTAAAAATCTTATTCCTATAACTATAGAATAATATTCTCAAATTAAGAAGTATAGTTAAACTCAAGTGAACTGCAACGTAAGCTGGCAAGCTATTTGAGCTCAAATTTAATAAAAAAGTTAAATATATATTTAATTAAATTCATAACTTTTTTTTTTTGTAAGCTTCTCAATTAAATACATAACTATTGATTTAAATTTTTTCTAAAACTAGTGAGATACTGGGACTACTTAGAAAGAGCTCCCCTAAGTATGTTCGAGTTCAAGGTCCAGTAAGTACCCCACTGGGCTCACGTATACAGTTTTTTTTTTTTTTTCTAAGATTAAAAATTAAATTTGTAATCTGTAACTAAGAATATAGAAAATACAGTTTTACATCCTCGCCATAATTAAGATGAGCGTATTTCCTGTTGTGGTCTATCGGTGATCACTGCAGCCTAATAAAGTTGTTGAGAAATTGCACCTTAACCAGTAATCGAACATTATTAAGAGAAAAGTATTAACCTAACTCTTAATTTTTAATTTCTAATCATTGCTCTTGTGAAAAAAAGAAAAAGATAAGCATTTAAAATTACAAAAAGGATGCAATTTAAATCTGTCACAATAAACTTACTTTAGGTTCTTATTCATCCTCAATTGTTAACTGGAAAGTATGGTTTTTTTTTTTTTTTTTTAATGATGTTTGTCTGTTTCACTCTAAAAACTTCCGGGGAGAGAGATATTTGGGCCTTCGAGTCCAAAATCAGGCCCACTAAAATTTGGGCCTGGCAGTACTCATCAATTGATTCAATTCATCATCAAAGTCTTGCCCACGGCAAAACGGAGGGTCCATTTTGGTCCGAAGAAATAAATCAAATGAATTTTCCTTGAAATTTCGAAGATATCTGCGAGTGCAAGACTTTAGCAGAAAGTCTACCCAAGACGCCTACTGATCATCAGACTTGAAACCCATTTTTTCTAAAGTTGTTATCGAAAAGAGATAGTTGTTATGACTCACTCAAAGACGTCATTTTTGGGGCAATTTGACTTTTGACTCGAAGACTGTTCTAGCAGAAAATGTTGAAGGTTGATTTCTGGATGGCTGACTAAGCTTTATGTTCTACGTGAGGGTGTGGTGTCTCTTGATTCTGGCGAAGATCGGAGGGTGGAATTTGACACTACTATATTAGTAATAAGTGAGGTATTAGCTAAGAAGTATTTATAATTTTATTAATGATTATACTTTGGCTTCGAGGCGATTTAAGGTATTAAGTTACTGTTTCAATAAAACTCTAAAATTTAACTCTCTTTTTTTCTTTTTTATTGTTTGGGCTAATGATTCAAATAAATTCATAATTTATAATCAATATCTTATTTTTGATAATGGTTACAGCAATAAATATAATGGAAACGCTTTTATTCCTTAAATTAAAGCCAAATGGCTGATAAATTTTTACTAACAACTAAAAAAAACAATCTAGACATTGCTACCCAGTACCCTCCAGGGGATCAAGCAATTGAACATAACTAAGAACTGCAGTTGCACGAACAGCAGGAAAAAGAAAAAGAAAAGAAATACAGTTGCATATTCCTCAAAAAACCAAAGATTTGAGAGATTTAAGTGGGTAGAGAACATTGACGTGAAATCCATTTATGTGCAGATTCTCATCTTCAGCGGGCCAACTCAAAACTAGATTAGCTTATCCCATTAATTTATCTTATTGTTTAAATTGTAGTGTTACAGGAACAATTATTTTATTTTATTTTTTAATTTTTATATATTATTAAATGAATGAATACATTTAATATTATAAATTTCACGTAAATTAAAAAAATTAATTATTTTAATAACACATTAAATTATATAAAAAAAAACAAAAAACTTATTAAAAAAAACATTTGCCTTGTTCAAATTGATATGATATTATGTTATTTGACCCCACAAAATCCCGTGCAATTTCTTCTCCGTCTCCATTGGGCATGGCCTCGTCTATACGCAAGCACAAATGTTAAGGAATTTATTAGGCAAAAATTTTAAATGCTGAAACGTAAAGCTCACGGTGTAAACAGTCATAGGGCGTTTAGATTTTCAAATTTAATGGATGGATGATAGTTAATAATTGGTAGATGATAATGAAAAATTAATAGTTGATAATTGATAATTAATAATAATTATTATTTGTAATTAGTGTTTGGTAATAGAGTTATTAACTGTTTTTAGTAAATTGTTAAATTAAATATATATTTTATATTAGTTAAATTACTCAAACTTCTTTTAGTAATATTGTAGTTTGAGATTTTAGTTTTAATTTTTAAAATTCAAACAATCAACTTTAACAATTAAAACCTAAAATTAAAAATTAAAACCGCCAACTTATTAAGTATGAAATTTTAAAATACCTAAAACTCTAAATTTAATTATTAATGTATAGAATTACTTAATTTTATTTTAGAGTTTTTAAATTTTTAAAAATTAAAATCAAAAACTTAAAATCACAATCATAATAAACAAATTTAATGTTCATCCTTTATAATAATAATAATAATAATAATAATATATTTTCTTAATTTTGAACAAAAAATTATACATATAAAAAAAGAAAACATAAATAAAAAATATAATTATTTAACTACCACAATTCACCTTAATAAATATTATTATTATTATTTTAGTATATTGATTAAGAGATATACAAGAAGAGATAGTCCTTTTTTATTTTCAAATCCCTCCTAACTTATTCAAAACTCGAAATTGAGGTTTCGAACTTGAAATCTTAAGTTTGAAATATCAATTTTTTAACTATCGAATCATTCCATTGAGGTTATAATAATGATAATAATACCATTTTCTCAAACACCATAATTTTTTATTCCTTTATGAAGTCTTTCGGTCTCCTAAATTCCATTTTGATTCATCTTCTCCTATTCTCCGTTTCAAAATGTGTGAGATCCCTCACATCCAAGGAGGCTAGTGCGGCAATCAAATCGGTGCCAAGTTCTAGGAAGTGGAAAAATAATTGTATGCCATTAGCATTTGGGGCTGCGTTTTGCATATGTTTTTGGCTTGCTTTCTTCCAAATCAGCCTTATTTGCATTGCCCTTTGATGACGAAATTAGGTGCTTTTACCGTCTGAAGTGGGTTCACTTGCTTCAGACGAGGGTGGAGCACTTCTCCGTCTCTCATCCTAATTATGTTTGTTTGTTGAGAAAATAATTTAGGGTTTATATGTGTATTTTTCTGATTGTAGGGTTTCAAGTGTGTCATTCACCTGGTGAGGGAATTGGGTCTGGTTAGAAACCTTTATAATTTCCAAGATTAGGGAGGAAACAACCATGGTTGTTAATTGTTCAAATTTTGAATTATAAGAAATTTGAAACGCTCTAAGAATCTACTAAGTAGATTTTGATGGATTAAGTTAAGAACATATAAATCAATAAATAAATAAATATTAATCACAAATGCTTTTGAATCCAACAGCTATCTAGCTATGTTGTTGAAAAGCACAACTGTTGAGAATCTCAATAACTGTTAATTGATTTTTAACAATTGACAAAAATTATTTGTCAAATATTTATATTTAGTTGATTAGGGTTCAATAGCTATTTGTTGTCTCCAAACCTCCTAAACAAATGACTCTATATATATTACAAGTCAATTAAGGTAATCCAACTTTAATGGGAGGAACAAGATCTAACAAAAAGTAAACACCCATCTATACATAATAGAAAATTATTGTTTATTAATCGAGTTTATAAACAAGTTAAGTGAAAAAAAATCTAAAATTATATTGTTTTGATGAAATAATATGAAAAAAATTAAAATAGTCTTATTTTACTTTAAAATTATGATATTTTAATATTTTTTAATAAAATTTTATTAAAACGATATAATTTTAATATAATAATTTATTTAGTCTTTATACAAATTTTACTAATAAATATTTTTCCACTATAATTGTCCAAACCTGCCAAAATATTTATGATTTCCTTTCATGGCAAAATTCATTGTAGAAGATCTTCTCAAGCAAGTGTCAATATATCATCAGTTTTATAAATATTGACACGCCGGCCCTTAGAGTTCACTCTATGTCCTCGTTTCCCCATCCATGCTCTTCCTCCAAACCTTTTTTTCCCCCCAGGAAAATAGCTCTTCCTCCTATCGAGATGCTTTGAAGTTTAGCCACAGAGACACTCACTCCAATATATATTCTACACCTTCAAGAAGAGTATATACTTCATAGTTCATGTACCATAGACAAATACTACCATCTCATGACATTGGCTAATTAAAATCCTCTAAATCACCAAGCAACAATTAGATCTCTAGCCCTGGTTGCCTTGGATGCCTTCGAGAATGATCTATTCCTTGAAGAACCCTTGATCCTCTTGGGATCCACTCACATTCACATTAGCGTTATTACCAATTAGTACTTGATTAAATTACTGTAATAATATTACTTGTTGCCCTGGAGCAGGAAATCCAATAAAGTAGAGTATGATGTCTATATATTGAGGTAGCTGTTTTGCAATTTATGTTACATAGATAACACATTTTAATAACTTTATTTTAAAGTTTAGATTATAAAAGAAGGGTAATTAAATATATGGCACAACTTTTAATATATCAGTTTAAATTAGATATTTTAATATAATTTAGATTATATAATAATTTTATTTGAATCTGAGTTGCAGGGTCAAGTGATTTTGACTATTCTTATAAGGTTCATATCCCCTTTTCAAAAGCAACGATTCGAGCCGACTTAATGATAAAATGTTCAAAAAATATATATATAATAATTTTTTTTTAAATAAAAAATATTTATAGTCTAATGCTTAAATTGCACAATTCTTATATTTATAGAGAGAGAAAGAGAAAGAGAGAAATTAATGTAACTATCCCTTTAAAAAGTTAAAAAAGGTATTTTAAAATTTACAATAATTTTATTCTTATTTTTTAAAATGTTGTTTTAATTTTTTTAATAAAATTTTATTAAAATAACAATCTTTTAAAATATTTTATTTAAATTTTTTTAGAAATACAGCCGGCACCCATATTTATTGTAGAGGGAGAAAACTAACCAGGAAGTTTTTTCTGTTATAGGTGTATATTTTTGTCTGAACTCCGGCAGGGAACAGCATTCAAAAATAAAAAGGAAAAAAGCAAAAGGCAAAACCATAAGTTAAGCCCCTAAACTAACCCCAGAATCACTATTAAGCCCTTAGACTTTAATGATGCAGTTAAGCCCTTGAACTCTAGGATCAAAGCAATTAAGCCCTTCTTCGTATGCTATAAGCCCCTAGACTTTAATTTTTAAAATAAATTGCTTAAGAAGAAGGGCTTAATTGCTTTGATCTCACAGTTCAAAGGCTTAACTGTATCAATTAAAATCTAAAAACTTAATAACGATTTAAAGATTAGTTCAGGGGCTTAACTTATGATGTTGCTAAAGCAAAACACTAAACAAGATGCTTAAAGCTGAAAGGTAACCTGTAATATAAATCCCGTGTTACTCCCCAGTAGAGTGGTAATAATGACGTTTCTTGACCTCTTAACAGCACAAGGCTGGCCCATTATGGTTTTCCATCACAATCATGGCTACGATTGTCCAACTCCATAATTAAATACTATCAACAATCAGGTGGAAACTTCACGCAACTGAAAGTTGCGTCGAAATTGGGAAATATTTTCCATTTCTTTTCTCAGATATCAATGCGAGATAGACTTTAATGGTTAAATGCCAAATCGGCAAATAAAGCAACGTCCTTGACCTGACCAGCCCACGTTTTTTTTTTTATTTTTTAATCTACTGATAGGATGTTTGGAGTCTTTAGACTCTGTTTTCATGTATTTAAAAATTATTTTTTAAAAGTAATTTTAAAAATGTACTTCTTACATTTTTTCCGTTACAGTTGAAAAAACCAGTAACTCACGTTTCCGCTGCTAAGAGGGCAATAGACGCGAAAAAATTGTAAAAGAGAAGGTTATTTGTAACGTTTTTATTTTGTAATTTGAATAATATTAGATTATAACTTAAAAATTATTAAATAAAAATACACTTTTTAACATTAAAATATTTATAATATATTTAATTTTAAAATAAAAAATAAATTTTAATTAATGTTTAATATTTTTAAATATTATAATTTAATTAATTAAAAAAATTCACCACTCTTCTATTTTTTTTAAACCGAACATTCTTACGTAGATAACACTTTCTTTACCAGCATATCCTACATACAAGTACGGAAATACACTTATAGGTGAAGCCTGGAGGAAAGATAAAAGGTAACTTTCATAAAACGACGTTGTTTTACCGGTCAAAAGAGGAAAAAACAATTAAACAATGAACAAACCATTGCGGTGTGCCACGTTAGATGATGGCCCAATCTTTGAGTCAAGAGAAAAGACGTGGCATTTTGTCCTTGGATGTGGAAAAATCGGCCGGGTTACGAGTCTTACGACAAAAACTAGATACCATCCGTTTTATCCTTCCAAAGAAACGCACAAATGGAAGATAAGCTCAAAACTTTCCAGGGAACCCAGACAACTCCATTTTTTTAATTCCAACCTCATTTAAAGATTAAAACCCCACCTGACCGACATTCGAAACAATTTATTTCTCCCCAAAATTCCAGTGATTCTCTTAATTTATTATTTTCCCCCTATCTTAAGTACCCAGGAGTTTTTAATGCGTTGAAGGACGCAGGGTGGAAGGAGGAGGGGATTAAACCGATTAATTACAGCAGCGGGTATGGCGATATCTGATGCTGTGATTGGGAATTTGACGACGATCTATGTGGCGGTGATAGCAGGGATTAAGGCGTATGGGCTGGTCAGTGGGCGGAACTTCAGTGGTGGATTTGTGCTGATTATTTCTACCGCCGTGGTGGCCGTCGTCATGATTGGAACCCTGGCGTGGGATATCTTACGTAAAGCCACCTACGCCGTCTCCCGCGATCACGTTCATGTCCACAAGATGTGCAAGGGCGGTATCTGCTGGCACGGCGTGGCGGTCCGGTCGCCCGCTTCCCAGGTTCGGTTCCGGCTCCCTCAACATCTTCCTTACGGTTCTCTGTGAATTAGATGAATTGCAGTCCTGAATTGCCTAATTTAGTTATTAAGAGCTGTGAGGTGTTGGTGTTTTTGATTGAGAGGAATAAGCTACTGTGTATATAAACAATAAAATAACGTACAAGTGAGGAATATGTTTGTGTATAAATAATTCTCCATTGTTTTCCTTCTTCTTCTTTTTTTTTTTTTTTTCTACTTTTTGCTGTTGCAAACTTTGTTCGGTCTAAAGTTGTGCTTTGAATTGAAAAAGGAAAAGAGCATTTGGAATTTGGGTTATTTCCTCCAGCTCCTATACAGCAGGGGAATGCATGGAATTCTATGAATCAAAATTTTCTGATTTCTTTTGAGGGGCTTTGAAGGGTGTTGTGGATTTCAAACAAAACAGGGGAAGTTGTGAGAATTGATGAATAATTAGATAAATGTTGGTTGAGCTGGGAAGTAGAACAGTCTAAAATATGGCTCCGTTCGTTATGTGTTTACAGAAATTCTTGCACTTTATTTGACAATTCCTTCTCTATTTGGGTTATACACTTATACACTCTGTTTCTGGTTTTGGACATGAATGAACAAGACGAAGTATTGGAGGAAAAAGATTGGCTAGAGAAGTTGAATTTTTTATCCAATTCTATTCCGTTCAAAAAAAAATGCAATAGTGGCATCCTATTGACTTTCCTTTGCAGTGTTGCCTCTGACCAAGTCAATCCCAGCTTAAACGGATTTTTTTTTTTTCCTTATTATTATGGGTGAAGCAGCAAATGCCTAACTATTGGTAGATGTCTGCATTCTGAATCCTGAACTTAATCTCATGGTTAGATTTTAGTTTTTTTTATTTATTATTATCTGCATAATGAGAATTTAGCTAATAAGGATTAGAGGGATACCAACTTGAATACTTGATTGAACTGTAGAGCCCACAGCACTGGCCCAACGGTTCGTTCCCGATGCTGTAAAGTTTGGGCCTCCTTGGGTTGAGGGCTCTACTCCTACCAAGGTCCAAGGCTTTTTGTAACAGCACCCCACCCTCTTCCCCCCAAAGTTGCCTATGTTACCGAAAAAAAAAAAAAAAAAACTGTAATCAAAGCCTAAATCACATCCTGTAAGACTGTAATGAGTTGAACCTCTTAAATAAATCTTAACAATTATGGTGCATCTCAATGTTGAACCTATAATTTCCTGATTAAATCTCACTACCTAACAATCTTGTGGTATTGGCTAAGAAAAATAACAATCTTATGGTGTTCGCTAAAAATATAATAATAATAATAACAATCTTATAGCAATTTTCAGCTGCAATCTTCTTTTGAATGTGAGAAAATTCCGATCCCAGCAGACAAAGATGGGAAAACCTACTTAATGATACTTTTTGACTAGCATTGTGATTAGGTAATATACTCTTAATCAACTTTAAACACACGCCTTTTCGTTCCAAAAGAAACAAACGTCCCTTTTTATTTGGCCTTCAAAACCTCTGAGGACCATTTTTGTCTGGAAATGAGAAAAGCAAAAAAAAAAAGAAAAAAGAAGAAGCCTTCTCCATAGGTCTACAGGGAGAACGATAAATGTTAAGACATCTTACCATCTTTTTGTGGATAAGACCTTAGAATTAACTAGATAACCACCAAATAAAATGCCTAGAGTATTTTTAGTTTAAGAAAAATAGAGTAAAAAATAATTTTTAACCAATTAAATTAAGATATTAAGTCCTCTCCTCTTTTTTCTTCAAACCAATTATATCATTCATAGATTAATTACCATTGCAAACGAAATTCACATATCAATACCATCAATTGACATTAAGTATGCATAAACCAGGAAAAAAAAAACTACAGAACTAAATTGAGTTTTTCACTCACAAACAAAAATTTGAATATTATGGCCAAAAAATAAAAAATAAATATCAAGACTAGGGTTATAACCAAGTACAATTTTTCTAAACTAAGCAATCATACCATTGGGCAATGGAAGCATTCGTTTGATCTGGATTTTTGAATAATTTTGTCACTGATAGCTTCCTTTTTTGCTCTTTTTAAAAGCAAAGGCTCAACTTTTAAATATTTAAAAATATGAAATTTTAACATAAAAGCTCAGTTTTTTTTTTTTTTGGGTCTAAAATGGCGGTTGGTTCAAAGAATACAATTATACAAACTTCAAACAAATGAAACAGATTCAAAGGTTGAATGTTTTTATTTTAAACAATGCGTGAATGATTTTTAAAATTGTTTTTTTTTTTTACCAAATTAAAATTAGTTACATATATAAATTAAGTTGGAGAAAGAGAAATGATATCTTTAATATTCAAACACATCACTACAAGGATGAACGACTTAATTGAGGGTCCATAAATTTGAGTGAACTGTATAATTTTTAAAATTATTTTTATTTTTTAGTTTAAAGAAACAAAATAGAAGCATCTAATATTTCAAGTCAATTGACATTCAATCAGTTTGAAATGTATTTTTTTTTTTTATGGAGGAGTTTCAAACCCGTTTTTTTTGACAATTTGTTAAAAAAAAAAAAAAGCAAAATAGAAAATATAACTACGGGATTTGGAACATGCAAATATGATTGAGTATAATTCCTCCGAACAATTTTCGTTCGCGACAAAATTAGTGTAAATTAAAGAGCAAAGTTTGGGTTCGTAGCCAACGGCTTTAAATTTTCTTTTCTTTGAAAAGAAAAGAAAAAATACCCCGTAGATACACGTCCACCGCCAGATCGTTTTAACAAAATTAACAAAATTATAATCGGACGGTTGCCATGAGCTAGGCAAACGTCCACCTTAACGATGACTACACCTCATCTCCACATATTGACACGCGTACAAGTCTTCTTTCAATCTACTTTCTCTTTCTTCGCTCTTTCTTCCTCTTCCGTTCGCCGGCTGCTCATCGGCTGATTAAAAAAATACAAGCCGCCATGTCCAATTCACCCTCGTTGACGCCGACGGCAGACGAATCGGACGCCGTTAGGCTGGAACACTGGTGCCACCAGTGCCTCAAACGCGTAGCCGTCGAAACGGTAGAGAATAGTCCTGAAGTAATCTGCAACGAGTGCAAAAATGGATTCGTGGAAGCCATCCAAGCGATACCTTCCGATGCTGATCGAGATGATTCTTCTCTTTCCTCCCAGTTCGAATATGTTCTGCGGCTTTTAAGGCAGGTGGCGGGTGAGGACGACGGCGTTCAGCCGCCGACTCAGGATCCCCCAACTGAAGACGATTTCTTCGGAGTTGAGCTTGACGGGTGGTACAACGATGAGGACGACGATGAGGAGAACGAGAACGATAATGAAGAAAACGAAGAGGGAAACAACGACAACGTCGAAGAAGAAGATCGATCTGTTGATCAGAATGAAGAGAATAGGAACACCGGCGATGACAGTGAGGAAGATCTTAGGCGAATTACCCGCGAGGTGCTCCTGCGTCGGGCCCGAAACCAGTCCCGAAGGAGATCTAGGCAAAATCAATGGACGGAGATCCGGATGGGCCTTGGCAACTCCATCGAGCTACGCTTCGAACTTTCCGATTCCGACCGCTATATTGGCAATCCAGAGGACTATGTCGACGCCGCTGGCTTTGAGGACCTGCTCCAGAACTTGGCTGAGAGTGATATTGGAAGGAGGGGAGCCCCACCGGCTGCAAAATCAGCGGTTTCTGGGTTGCCGACAGTGGAGATCTTAAAGGAGGCGGAGGCGGTTGTGTGTGCTATATGTAAGGATGTCGTCGGTGTTGGAGAATTTATGAAGAAGTTGCCCTGTGGCCATGGTTACCACGGTGACTGTATCGTGCAGTGGTTGGGTACGAGGAATTCGTGCCCTGTGTGTAGGTTCGAGTTACCTACTGATGACGCTGAGTACGAGGAGGAGAGGAAGAAGAGAGGGTTGGCCAGTGTTGATGGAGCTTCTGCTTCTGCTTCTGCTTCTGCTTCAGGTGTGAGTGACTCGGGTTCAAGTTGATTCGAATTGGTAGGTTTGCGAATAACGTTCATCTTTTGCTTTCAGAACTTGAGGTAGTTTTAAATTGTTTGAGCCATGTTTCTCTTCTTGTTTATCAACTTCATTTAGTTGTGGATTAGACAAGGATTTAGTTCAATTTGCTTCTGAATGTAAATAATATGAATTCAATTTGATGCTTGTCTGCCTAAACTCAGGAGTCCAATGTTGTATCACATTAGAACATTTGGAGTGAAGTCTCAGAAATTGCATGGAGTAGATTAAATAGACATGAAATTGTTACATGTTTGTGCCTTTGTGGTTTGTGAAGTTGGTATGATTTCTTTTTCCCTTCAACAAAAGTTAGCATGGTTGTTAGAAATTCTGGCATTTGCTCATCCCTAGCTTTTAGGCCAGTCCTCGGTCCCTTTCATGCCATTTAGAAATCATCATTTTACAATGGCAAAGCTAAGTGATTTGCCTTTGAGTTTTGTTTTTGGTCAAAGGAAGTTGCTCTCTGCGTCATTATATTTTCACCCAATTACTACTGAGAATCAGAAGTCAAAACCCTTACTTTTACCCAGTTGGGATGTGCCTTTACCATAATGTTTGAATTTGTACAGCTATTGAGTATTGACTATTGACCACATCTAACAAGAGCATGTAGTGAATTCTAGTTTTTAGTGATTGTTATTTGTTAGTGTCCTCCCCATTAGTGATAATGTGGTTGTTGTAGAATGAATAGGGCTCTTTAACTTAGTTTGTTAAATTAAAATACTCATATCCATTGTCAATCGAGTTTTGAAATGTATTATAACGTTTATATGGATGAAAAATTAAACTCTTAAGCACTGCAATGATTTTGAATTGTATTGCTAAGTATTCCGTAAATAATAATATAAAGTTGTTCTTGCAAGTTAATGATGTTTCTTTTCTTTCTACATTCCTCTTGTAGCTTTTAAAGTGTTTTTAGGTTGAGTTTGTATTCTTCTAGTTAGTCAAGTAATGTGAATTTAGCTTGCTTTTGGTTATATATTACCGTCCTTTGTTTGCATTTGGCTATTTATGTCTAATCTAGCCCACCATCCGTCCTAAGACCAAAGATCTAAGGAGGCCACTTCCATTGTAGGATATCAAGACCATGCCTTGGCTCTTCTATGTCTGTTGATTGATTCTTTCGAATTCAAGCCTTATGGGAATTTGATGAGCTGCTTTCTCCACAGATGATGCTGGGCATTGGCACTTATGGATTACTGTCCTAGCCAAAATCTTTTCAGTTCTCTTCTCTCATTCTATTTTCGTTTTGCCTTTTCCTTGTATATTCTTTGCAATTGAGTCAATTGACTGGAAAAGAGAGAAAAGAAATGGGCAAGAGATGTTCTAGTTTGGGCCAAGGTCCAAAGCAGATGCTCCTTTTTCCTTTTATAATGGCCTTTTAATTGTATACCCTGTGATCGTTTTATTGCATGGAGTCATGGATATGTTGCTAGATTTTGAGCAGTTCCTGCGGTGACCAATTTATCTCTATTAAAGAAAGTGATATTTGCTTCCGTTTGCTTGGCTATGACTTTTGTTGCAACTCTCAATTTTTCTGCATTTTCGTTTTCCTTGTTTCTTTCTTATTAAGCATAGTCTTATGAATAAATTTTGAAAATGTAAAAAGTCGTGTGTATTCAAAGTCTCTCGTTTATTTTAGGCCGAGATCCTTGGAGTTGAATCAACTGGTAAAAATACCCTTTAATTACTCCACATATCATATAAGAAAAAGGTTAATTAACTTTTTTGGTTTTTAAAAATTTTATTCTATGGGATAAAAGAAATATAATTTAAAAACTTAAAAAGTACAAAATAAAGCCAAAACCCAAAAACAGAATTTGGGGCAAGGTCCAAAGCAGTCCGAAGGCCCAAATTAGCCATCGCCTGCTGGGTCACGTGAATTACCTTTAAGCCTCTTTGACGCCTTTCTAATTCTATTACGAGGCCCTCAACATCATTTTTCTCCGTGTCCTGTTCTTCTTAAAACACAACTAAAACCCTTTGGCAAGCCTTAGCCCCCTCCCAAGCGCCGGACATAAGTTTGCTGCTGAAAACTCCATGGCCGCAGGTTTCGTCTTTGAAGCTCCCAGCGATGAGGAGCCCGAGCTCTCACAACCTGAAGAAGAAGAAGACGACGATGATGAAGAAGCAGAAAAAGAAGGTGGTGAAGAAGTTGAAGATAAAGCAGCAAAATCCAAACGCCAAAAACAATCTCCCTGGGACTTCGCTTCTTATTCCGAATCCGTCGCAGAAGAACACGCACGCCGCGGCACTACCTCCATCGACTTCAAAATCTCCAAAGTTCTCCAGCAGAGATCCACTCCTGCGGACGATGAGACTTCCGATTCTGAACCTGACAAACAAGTATCACTCTCCTTAATTCGCTCTTTCTTTCATCTTAATCATAGTTCCGTTCGTAGTTACCATGAATTCGAGTTTTCATTTGAGATATTGTTTTTAACAGGAGGATTATAGATCGGAAGATGAAGATGATGACAGGAGTAACGCCGGGGACAGCAAGTCCTTCTTTGCTTCTTCTGAAGGGGCGTCGTTCCATGCGAATTCGTTTATGGAGCTAAATCTTTCTCGTCCTTTGCTTCGAGCTTGCGAGGCTTTGGGATACACGAAGCCTACTCCCATCCAGGTATCGTTTTTGCTTATCGTTTCATTTTCTGTTTTTCTAATTTTGAATTCCTTCTAAGTTTGATTTAGCTAATTCTTAGCCTTCTCCCTGTAGGCGGCCTGTATACCATTAGCCTTGACTGGACGTGATATATGCGGTAGTGCTATTACTGGTTCTGGGAAGGTAAGTAGCTGGAATTTTTTTTTTTTTTTTTGGAAGTGAGAATTCTTGAAATATTTATGATTGCCTTTGGATTTTCCTCTCTTATGCAGACAGCTGCCTATGCATTACCTACGCTAGAAAGGCTGTTGTTCCGCCCAAAACGGGTTGCGGCAATAAGAGTGCTTATTCTTACTCCAGCAAGAGAGTTGGCAGTCCAGTAAGTATTGTGCTTGGTTTCTTTCTAACAAGGTCCAACCCTTGGGCGCTTATCATGTTTGTGTTCAATTAATTTTGATTTTTTTTTTTTCCTTTTCATTTGTGTATTACAGGGTTCATAGCATGATAGAGAAACTTGCTCAGTTCACTGATATAAGATGTTGCTTGGTTGTTGGTGGACTTTCATTAAAGGTTTGACCACTGATTTTCTGGCTTATACTTGGATTAAAGCAAATATCTATCTCTGTTGAAACTAATGGTTTTTTTTTTTCTCCCTTTTTCTTTGTTTTCCTTATGCTTTTCATTTGTTTTCTAATTTTCTTTCAACTCTCATGCTTTTCATCTATTTTATTTAACTAAGTTGCAATGCCTTATTACCCTTCTGTTTTATTTGGAAGTTATAATTTTCAATTTTTTATTTTTTATTTTTTCTAAATTATACTTGCTTCCATGGTTATTTTTTCTCCTATTCTAATATCATATTTATACTAGGTGCAAGAAGCAGCTTTGAGGTCAATGCCTGATATTGTTGTGGCTACTCCTGGACGCATGATAGACCATTTACGCAATTCTATGTCTGTGGATTTGGATGATCTTGCAGTCTTAATTCTTGATGAAGCAGATCGTCTTCTGGAGCTTGGATTCAGTGCTGAAATCCATGAGCTTGTATGTCCCTCTATTTTCTATTGTATTTCCATACAAGTTTCAATTGTCTGTCGTTATTAGTTCTCTGCATGGCCAAGAAGAGTTGTTTATCTACTTTTTCTTTATATTTTCAATGATCTTCAATCCAATGCAGTATAAATGGTTAGGTGGTCTTAGTAAGTATTTATCTATGCAACAGTAAATAGTTTGTCGCAACAACTTCAATTCCTAGCTTACTTTGATACCTTTCACTTGCTTTTAATTGGAATCTGTAATGCTATTTATATTTTAAAAGTTACAATTTTTTTTACAGGTTCGCCAATGTCCCAAAAGGAGACAAACACTGCTGTTTTCAGCTACAATGACAGAAGAGGTTGATGAGCTTGTCAAGCTTTCTCTGACCCGACCATTACGTCTCTCTGCTGACCCATCTGCAAAACGTCCATCAACATTGACTGAAGAGTAATAATTTTCTGATTTCTTAATCTACTTAGCTTGGCAATTCTCTCATGTGTTTATCTGACTATGTTGTCTTTAATATTTCCCTGTGTAGGGTTGTTAGGATACGTCGGATGCGTGAAGTAAATCAGGAAGCTGTTCTTCTTTCACTGTGCACAAAGACCTTTACATCCAGAGTGATCATCTTCAGGTTTTAGATTTCTCTTATAAACTTTACTTTGCGAGTAGTCTTTTTTTTTAATGATTTTATCTTCTGAGGAAATTCATGTTTCTTGTCTATAGTTATTACTTTCCTGCCGCTGATTATATCATGATTGCTGGCAATTTATGTGTCTTGTCTTGAAAATTAAGCTTCTTGCCTTTTTTTTTTTTTTGTTCCGTTAGCTACTTGTGCTGGAGCTTTTAGATTTGTAGTAATTTAAAAATTGATTTTGAATTTAATCAACAGTGGAACCAAGCAAACTGCACATAGGTTGAAGATTTTATTTCAGTTGGCTGGCCTTCAAGCTGCTGAGCTTCATGGGGATCTTACTCAAGTCCAGCGTCTTGATGTAGGTAGAATGTAGGTAGAATGTATATATTGTGTTTTTTAAGTGCATGTCTGGTTTCTTGATAAATTTCCACATTAATTGTTCTCTAAGGTGATGAAATTTTAGAATTAAAATGCCTTCTTATTAGTCTTTATTTTTCTCCCTTCCTTTTTACCATCTTGGCTCTCTACATCTCACCATGGTTATTTGCTTACCATGTAGGCCTTGGAGCGTTTTAGGAAACAACAGGTTGATTTTTTGATTGCAACTGATGTGGCTGCACGTGTGAGTTGAAACTTCCACACATCCTAGTTGCATCTCATCTTTCCAGCAATAGCATCTTCTTTTATCATCTTGTTTTTAGGGTGTCATTTTTTTTTGGGAAGTGATAGTGAGGTTATGGATTTATGATTCTTATTTTTGTGTAATTTGAATTTGATTCCATGAATTTATTAGGCTGAAGTCTTGAAGCGTTTGCTATCATTTGGATACATAAATTCTGACTATTTACTTTGAATGGTTGTCATATGTAGGGACTTGATATAATTGGAGTTCAAACAGTTATAAATTATGCTTGCCCTCGTGACATTACAAGGTAAACATGCCAGTAAATCCTGTGGGACTGACATGGATTATCTTTATCTTATTATTATTTAGTTTTCACCCCTTACTATTTAAGTCACATTAAGATCACTGTATGGTGAGTTTACTTCTATATTTTTCCCTATGCAGCTATGTTCACCGAGTGGGCCGTACAGCAAGAGCTGGCAGAGAAGGATATGCTGTTACATTTGTGACAGACAATGACCGTTCTCTATTAAAAGCTATTGTGAGTCCAATCTTCCTGATATTTAATGGGCTTGTTTGACTTACATAGGCTTTATGCATGCTAGGAATTTTGGTTTTCATCATCATGAGTTTGATATGCTAAGCACAGTTATTCTGTTACTTTTTGGCCAGGCAGTTATCCTGTTATTAATCTGGCCTTTATGGTTTCATTTTTTAAAACTTCATTTATGTTAGAAAATGTTGGCATTGACTTGCTTGAAATACCATTAATAAATTGCATACAATGCAATTACATTTATAGGCAAAGAGAGTTGGTTCGAAGTTGAAGAGTCGTATTGTTGCAGAGCAATCAATTGCCAAGTGGTCTCAAAAAATTGAGGAGATGGAAGATAAAGTGGCTGAAGTTCTTGAAGAAGAGAGGTTTTATTTTTGCTTTGTTTTCCAAGTGATCTCTTTTAGTTATTCTATTTTATGCTGCTGTTATAGATTAATAATTTCTGCAGGGCAGAACGAGTACTGAGGAAAGCTGAAATGGAAGCAACGAAGGTACTGGTTTATTTTGTTTTATAATACTTAAATATTGACATCTTGAGTAATGCAGTATAAAACACTTTATTTTATATTTTTGTTTCCTTACTTGCTAACATATGTTGAGAGGTTGTATCATTTTAATATCCGTGTAATTAATTGTTTCCTCATGTTTGAACTTTACAATTATGGTAATCTAATGCACTTGCATAACACATCCAGGCTGAAAATATGATTGCCCATAAGGATGATATTTATTCACGCCCTAAAAGGACCTGGTTTATGACAGAAAAGGAGAAAAAGGTTGTAGCAAAGGCTGCAAAGGTAATTTCATTTTTTTTTTCTTTTTGTAAATTGTACATAATTGTCATATTTTCATACGGGGCTATTTCCCCAGTTGTCTTCTGTTGCAAATGTAAATGCTGCCAATTATTTGGCCAACCTGTTTATGCTTCCAGTCTGCCTTTAGCAGAATTTCAAGTGTAGCTAATATAATGCCATAGTGTTCTCGTAATGACACTGTCTTACATTTTTACAGGAGTCTAAGGAAAAAGATAACGGTTCTGCAAATGTTGTCATGAGTGCCCAACAAGCTGAGGATCTTAAGTTGAAGGAAAAGAGGAAGAGAGATCGCGAGGTGCTTATCATCCTACATCTTTTTATTCGAAATCATTTAATTTTTATGTGATGCTCTGAACATTGCTGGTGTTTGTTGAACAGAAAAACTTGCCCCGGAAAAAACGTCGAAAACTAGAAGCAGCTAGAGAGATGTTGGAGGATGAAAGTAAAATTGACAAATCAGTAGAAGTATGGATATTCTGTCTTGTTATTCAAAATCCTTTATTTTATTTTTTGTGATCGACAAGAATTCCTGTAATGTGATGTTTTTTAGAATGAAAAGTTAGGGTAAACTGAATCTTATAGCTCAAAACACGTACTCTTCCCTTTTATCTGCTTCCCATGTTTTTCTCTGTATTGATTGATGCTTTAATCTTTAACTTTGAGCTTGCTTTTTCAAGTTTTCCAAATTCTTTATTTTAAATCTAGACATCATGCAAGGGAAAAGGAAAGCCCCATACTTTATTAAATTCATGTTAGATGCCTACCAGTTCTTTTTATCATTCCTTGTGTATATATTTGCATGCAATTCTCATATATAATAGTTGCAGGGTGGTGAAAAAAAAAAGAAAGGGAAGGATGGCATATCTTTGGTTGACTTAGCTTACCGGCGGGCAAAAGCAGTGAAGGCTGTGAAGAAGGCAGTAGATGCTGGCAAAATTGTGAAGAAACCTAACAAGAAATCAAAGCACCCTTCACAAAAAACTCAGTCAAGGACAGAAGAAATGCGGGAGCTGTTCCAAGATGATATGAGTGAAAAAAAGAAGAAAAGCAGTAGTTCTGCTGGAAGGAAAAAATCAAAGAGCTCCTTCAAGAGCAAGTCACGGTATGAAGCACCATATATTTCGTTTTCATTTCTCTGATCTTTCTGTTTCAAGACCTTTCTTCTACTCTGGTAATACTCAGAATTTTAAGTCCGTCATCTCTGAACTCTAACGAGCAACTTATATTCTTGGTATTATCTTTTGTAATTGTCATTTCATTAAAAATTTGCATCTTCTGTTTATCAGTAGTGTTAATGCTGCCTCATGACTACTTATTTATTTATTTATTACAATATACTGGAATTCAATAAAGTTAATTGTCATCTCATTAAAAATTTGCATCTTCTGTTTATCAGTAGTGTTAATGCTGCCTCATCACTACTTAGTTATTTTTTTATTACAATACACTGGAATTCGATTTTAACCACTTCTTCTTCTTGTTCTTCAGTTACAAGCGCAGGTAGAGCAACAGCCATTGACATCTAAAATTAAATCTCTGGCCCTTACTCAGTGGTAAAGCATCCTAGGTATCAATATGACAATATGGGTCATACAACGGGGGGCACTTATTCTAGGTTGCTATCTTCCTCGAACAGACAAGCATTTTCGCATCCCCATGGAAGGTACATTGCCCATTTGCATTGCCGTTACCAATGACCAAGGTCCAATTTTGTCCCCTTTTTTGGTGACATAATAGTTGCAAGGTGTAACCTCTATGACATGAAATTATTACCCATGAAAGGGTGGGGAGGCACCAGATTCGTAATATTAACTGTTTAATCCTTGCCTTGGAACAGGTATATAACTAAGAATACATTTTGATTCAAGTGTCTGTTATGACGATTGAAATAGGAAATTGATTGATGGATAACTTCTGTATTATTTTTTCATACAATCTTACATAATATTCAATGAGTGGTCCTTTTTTTTTTACTTTCTTAGTACTTTTAATATTGCATACATTTGCATTCACCTATTTAATAATATATAGAAATGGCAAATAAAAGTTGTATAAATAAGTGAAATGCTAGTAATCAAAGTGGCTTTGTCACTGGTATATGAGGTTTTTATAATTTTATGTCGAGTTTCAACTTGTGTAAGAATTATAGTTTTCAACCACTCACTTTGAACCAACCCAATGAACCTAGTGGTTCACCACCAAGTTTAAGAGTTTAGAGTCAAGTTATTGTGAGTTTTATTTTCACCAATTTTTTGAAAAAATTCCCTCTTCTTCTAAAATT